CCATGAGACCAAGGGACTCTTCCTGGTGCAGATTCCTCTGATCTTAATCTGGTGTTCCAGTGATGCTGTGCTCCTTGTCCCGTTCCAGCCCATGGGTTGCCTAGAGGAGGTAGCTGTCCATTGCATGTCATCACCTTTACATTTGTACTTAATAGAGTAACCCATATTCACTAAGGAAGTAATAAACTCAGTGAAATGAAGCAAACCCACCCCCTCCTTAACTACATGCTTTTGTTCTGACTGGCTATTATTGGAAATCATCATGTCTAACACTTGAGATATATATTAAAAAACAAACAAACATCACTACTCACTATTCTGTAGTGCTGTTAGAAAAACAGAAAGAGCCTATTGGTTCTGAAGCTGAGTTTTGTGCACAATAAAATATGTGTACCTTAGAGATAAAGGAACAGTCAGAAGAAAAATATGCCAGACACTTATTTTAATAATAACAACTGTAACATCTCCAAAACACTATTCTCAGCAGCATTTTAAAAAGATTTCCTGGATGTAACATAACGATGATTGCCTCTCATCTTTTCAGAACAAGCAATTGCTTACTTTATGGCTAACAATTACTTCTTGTAACTCAGCAGTTCATATTATCCTTCCCAACATATAACCGTTTTTTAAAAAGAGAAAGTGCATTTGTGTTGGCAGGAGATAGAGAATGGATTTCAAAGGCAAGCCAGTTTGGCTCAGAATTTGGAGCAGGCATTGCCCTTTGTTAGCCAAAGGACTTCTCTGAGGGACTCTGAAGAGGGTGCTGTTTGCCATTTTCTTCTTTCTTTCCCACAAAAGTCTGAAACAGAGTGGAATGAGAACCTCAAATAAAGAACTGGGGGTTTTTTGCCCATAAAGCCCAAAATAAGCCTTGGGCTGCTCTGTATCCTGTATCAGTGGCTGGAGGGCTGTCCCTTTCAAGGTCTATAAGAATACTCTACAATCAAAATGTTGCACAAAGTTCTTTAATATGTGGTGCCCCAATACTAAACTTACCAATAAAGAACTACAGGTATGCAATCCATAATGGACTTTGGGCCATGCCAAACCATACATCCACGGTTCCAATAAAATGTCTTCCATGAAATGCCCCAGCACCATGACCAGCACCTACTAGTAAATACAGAAATGAATAAGGAATTCTGCAACCATTGGTCAATCACCTGTGCACCCCCCCCCCAAAATCATATACCTATACCTATATGAGATGTCCTTGTATTGTGTCTGACCCAACGTTTCATGTTCTGCTGGGCCTATATCAATAACTGCCAGTAAATAGGAATACAAAATCAATCATAATGTGCTCCAGCACTGGCTTTGGGCCACCTGAAATTAAACACCCCTGTTCCCCATTGCAAAATGTTTTCTAGGAGATTCTACACCATTACATCTGGCCTAACTCTTCATTTGCACACTCCCAAGTGTATTATCCTAATATCTATACTAGCCAATATACTAGCCAATATGTACACTTCCAAATTAGGCTTTGGACCACCCCAAATAACCTACCGCACTTCCTCTGTGAGACAACTTCAAACTATGAGTAGCCAAATGCATTGTTTTTATGCAAGACCCTGTCAAGCATTTTGGGACCACCACAACAATGGCCAATGCAGAAAAAATAAGGAAACCAGGATTTGGGAGCTGAGAGCTGGCAGATTTGGGACATAATTAAAGGCCTGCAAATTGATTTAATTCACTGCAGTTTATTATCATGGGGAGCCCATTTTGATTACCGACTCAAGCATCCAAATGTCCTACATTGTCTCTAATTGATGATGAAATCATCTGATAATTAAGTTGTTCAGTATTTGGGTCAGTTAGTTAAATATATCCAAAAAATGTATTTCTACATTTTTGTTTGGAGGAAGAAAACAGAAACCCAAGATAGATGACCAACCTATCATCATCGTTGTTTTCACCTTGATTTTGCATAATAGTCTGCATTTATTAAAATGTGGTTTTCTTTTTCTTCTTTCCACCCTGAATTTTAGAAAGTCACCCACAGCAGCTAGCAGAGTTACCTGGTGCTTGAATCCATGCAAACTGCCATTCTCTATTCCAGTTCCCATACTCCCCACTTTTTCTGGCCAACACAGTGGGTCAATGTACCCTTTGCAGCCATGCTTTGCCTAATCCGGAATGACCATAGCTCAGTGGTAGAAGCATCTGCTTTGAGTGTAATAGGCCACAGGTTTGATCCCCCACTTCTCCAGGGTGACTTTATTTATTTGTAGGATTTATATATGGCTTAGTAAATTCTGTACACGTCTATCATGTCTCTCCTTCTAGGCTGAACAGTCTCTGATCTCAGAGGGAAGTTGTTCTAACTCTGTGTTCATTCATTTGCCCCTTTCTGCACTTTCCCCAACTCTATAATGTCCTTTCTCAGTGCAGCACCAGCACTGTACACAACATTGTGAGTGCAGCGGCAGCAAAGATTTGAATCAGGGGACTATAATCTTGGCAGCTTTAGTTTCAATTCTATTCCTAATTATGCCTCAGATGGAGCTTGCCTTTCTCAAAGCAGCTGTGCACTGGCTCAAGATTTCAAATAACTGTCCACCACAACCCCAAGATGTCTTTCTTGATATGACACTGCTAGCTCAGATCCCAGCAGCTTGACGTTGGGGAGCGTGGGTGCCCCAAAGTGCATTTAGGCTTCCCTCTGGTGACTTTGCAGGGTCCTCCTTCAGCCACCAGCTCATCTGCTGCCTCCACCCACAGCAGTGCAGTGGTGGGGACTGGGCCAAGGAGCCCATTTCTGGTCCTGGAGGGTGGTGGATGACCAGAGCTCCCTCATCTTGGCTTCCCTCTGCAAGTCATGTCAGAACATAACTTGGGCTGAATGAAAACTTATTGAGAGTGCATGCCTCTAGTTCCTTATTAATTTCTAGCAGACTTAGAAGCAAAGAATCATGGAATATCAGAGTCAGAAGGAGCCATGAAGGCCATCGGACCCAACCCCCTGCTGTTGCAGGACACCAAGCCACACCATCCCACTCAGATGGCTGTCCAGTTTCACCTTGAATGTTTCTAGTGAGGGAGAGCCCACCATGGTTCCACTGCTGTACCACTCTGAGAGTGAGGAAACTTTTCCTGATAACTGGCCCAGTTCTCTCAGTCTCTCCTCACAGGTCAGTGTTTCCAAATCCTGGATCATTTTTGTTGCCCTCCTCCGGCCCGTTCTAATTTTTCTGCATGTTTCTTAAATCTTGGTGTCCAGAACTGGACATAGTATTCCAGATGAGGAACACTGCAACCTGGTGCTCTTGAGACATGCTGGACTGCAACTCCCATCATCCCCAGCCCACCATGCTGATGGGAGTTGCAATCCAGTTCAGCTGAAGGGGTTTGGGAAAAGTTAATTTCCAGATGGACTGGTGAAGGTCGGTATAGGAACCGCATCTCTGAGTGTTCCTTGTGTCAAAGGATGCACTGGGCTGGTGGGGGCAGGCTGGTGGGGCATCTGATAAGGGGAACAGCAGCCTGCTGATGGGTGTGAGTCTGCAGGCTCTGGTGCACCATGACTTTTGGAAAAGGTTTGCCTGGCAACAATGTTGCAGCCTTTTTGGTCTGCTCCAAGGCACTTAATGGCACATGATCGGGGTAATGATGTCGGCTGTTTTATCTCCTTGCAGCTATTTTATTTATTAATTTTAGAAACTTCCAATTGTTTACAGCTTGTTGCCTTGTTGCATGCAGAATGTTGCCTTATTCTTTTATCATCTTGTATTTGTGGGTTACAATTTTTGAAGTCTGCACAGAGGTATTTGGCTGTTGGGCAATATAGAACTGATATGAATAAAAATGTTACATGTGTCATTCGGGGTGGATCACTGCTCATTTTGGGTGTAACTCCATCTTCTTCTCTCCATTTCCTCATTTTTTAAAAACATGCCCCTGAATGTCAGAGGTGGTAGAAGATAAAGGGTTCAGGCCCACAGGACTGGAAAAAAAAAACCATATTTTTAATATATCAAATCTTAGCCCTGTTGGGTTATTCAGCGGCCTATATATTTAAAAATAAATAATTGCATATGCTCTGAAATCTCTCTCTCTGTCTGAGTCTGTGTCTTTAAAGGGACCTGTCTCCTAGGACACCACTACTTGGAAAAAAAGGGATCAGTGAACAGGAGAAAAGAGATGAGATTCCAGAAAAAAACGCAAGCAGAAAGATTCAAGGAGAAGGGAGCAGGTGGTGAAGCGCCTGTGGGCAAAAAGCCAGCTAATCCAGGGCAGCAGATGCAAGAGTACCTCCGTCCTTTATCCACCCAAGTGCTCATGGCCAGCAAACCGCGGGTGGCGGGGGAGGCGGCAGCTGGCTTCCCAGAGATCCGGGGCTCGAGGAAAGATTCGGGGCTCCAGCCCTAATGGGCGTCTTCTTAAACCCGCGCCTGCTGGCGTTTAAGCACGTGGCGCCAGAAGCAACCCTTCCAAGCGGCGGCACCTTGGAGGAGTCTGCATCCTGGCCATGGAGGAGTGGGGCGGTGGACATTCTGGGGGAAGCCAGGCGTTATAAAGCCTCGTACGGCACTTCTCGGCTGTGCCAATAAGGAAGGGCGAACGAGACGGCAGGAACTGGGAACCCGGGAGCCAACTTCAGTCGCGGCCAGGGGAACAGGGAGGGATCCAATGGTTTTTAGGGCGATGGGTGGCCATCCAATGGCGGAGGGCGCCCCCGCCCAGCTCCTCGCAAACACCCGCGCCTCGTATTGTCGCCCTTGTCCATCACTCCTTAAGTCTAGTTGACATAATTAATGAGGCTGGACACACCTTCCAGCCCGTAAGAAACCCTCGCCGGGCTCCAGCGAGGACCCTCGGATCGCGCAGAGGCGCCGAGGCACTCGACGGCGGCAGCCCGCCGGGCGGGCCAGGAGCGGAGAGGGGTGCTGCGGGGGCCTCCCCGGCCAAGGACCTCGGAGCGGGCGACCCCCCGTCGATGCGAGTCCGGGCCAGCTCCTCGGACGCGCCGGCCAGGTCGGCCCTCCCCGGCTATGCTCCCCAGCGCCCTGACTTGGCACTGCGGGAGCTCCGCGGCGCTGCTCAGCTTGCCCGCGGCGCCGGGATTTGGCACGCTGGGCAAAAGTTTCCTGATCGAGAACTTGCTGCGGGCCGGCGGAGCCCCGCCGCCGCAAGCCGCGCACAGCCTGCCCGCCACTCCCATCCCGCTCAAGCTGTGCCCCGCGGCGGCGGCGGCGGCGGCGGAGCAAGTCAGTCCGCCCGGAGGAGCCTTTCCGAGCCGCGGCTGGCCCTTCCAGGCGTTCCGCCCCCCATCGGCAGCGGACGGCAGCGGCAGGGCTCCGGCGGACAGAGAAGCTCCTTTCCAGCCAGCAGCCACAGGTGAGCCAATCATCCCCTGCTCCAGGAGCCTGGCCCCGCTCCCGCTCCCACGCGCCGGGGCCGTAGCGCAAGGTGCGCCCGACGCTTCTCCGGGTCTGATCTCTTTCACGGTCCACGCGAGGCCTCCGGGCTTCCCTCGTCTTCCTTTGCGCAAACCCCGTTTACGCACAGGCGGACTTCCTTGCGCCTGCCCCTGCTTAGCCACGTGGCAGAGCCCGCCTCAGGTAATCAGAACTGAAACCGCTCCCTGCTCGTGATAAGATTAGGTGCTCAGCTGCACGCGTGAACTTGCGCGCCGAGAAGAAGGGCCTTGCCTTTTTAACCAGTCCTCTCGGAAGCGCCATAGGGTGGTTCGTCAGATGTGCCATGGACGAGGGGGCATATGACCTGGAACGAATCCAGACTCCTAATCAGCTCGGCCCAGGAGTGGTAAAGGCGGGCCAGTCCTGTCCCTTTCCGTCATAGGGGAGTCTAACCACATTAGTGCACATTGGGAGTTACAGCCCAACAGGTCTGGAAGACTTGCTCTTGATATATAGGCCCTCTGTGGAATCGCCTTCATACCTGTGGAAAAGCCGTCATCTGTTGCCAAAATCTCCCCCATCTTGGTGCAGTTTTCATATTCAAATGATCTTGGATTGGCCGCAAGACAAGTTGAATTACTGGAGTTGCTTCTTGATTGATGGCCTTCTGTGCTCTCAGTCTATAAGGCTTAAATTGATTACAGATGTAAACGCTTTGGAATTTTAATTATTATTGATAGATATGCTGGACATTTTATAGCACTTGAAAGTGCTTTATATACTTTGTCTTGCCTTTTCTTAATTAATAAAGTGTAATTAATTAGTAATTAAAGACATTACTTATTGATTGCTTAATGAATTAAAATTAAATTAATTTAAATTGTATGCAGAATTTGCACTACTTCAGAGAGGCCAGATGATTAAAAATTTAGTGATTCAAACAGAAAGTGCAAATGATTTCTGCTGATTTCACTCTTACTTATAATTACCCTGCCTGGTGAAGGGTTCTGTGTAACTCAAAAGCTTGCACACTCCTTTAACAAAGGGCTTATTTTTAAAACAATAATAAGGTAACAGTCTATTCCTTTTCCTTAGGGATAGGTTTGAGCAACAATGTATAATACTGTTGTGTGAAAGATATTATTTTCAGTGAAGCTTATGGAAGTGTTATCCAAGCCATAATTGTAGCAGGAAATTCAAATAGTTTATGATCTGAAAAACTGAAGGTGTGACCTGCAGAGTTTGATTTGTCTCTTTTGCTGCACAAATTCCAACTGTGCCAAACAGGAAGCTACTGCAAAGTTTCAAAGAAGTTTGTTTTGCAGTGGAAACTGTGGCAGCAAAGCTGTGTTCTCTCCTACTTTATTAATATTTTGTTTTTCCATCCTGACCAGTACCTACCATGTGATGGCATTAGAAGGGTATTCATTTAAATTTGAAGAAAGCTTGCTTTCTCTCGATTGCAAAGATATGAACTGTGAAGGCCAGAACTTGACAGAAAGGTGAACAGGAATAAAATGCACTTGAGAGTAAAGTCTTAAATTACAGCCTATGAGACTGTGCATTTATCTGGAAGAACTAAATTAGGATTTATTTGTAAGCTTTTGAGAGAATCAAGTGTAACAATTATAGGTCATAACAAAGAGGTCTGTGGCCCAAAGTTCTTAGAATTAATTTCACATACAGTGGCACCTTCTTTCACGTAAATGCATTTATGATAGGCTTACAGGGATGTCCTAAAATATTTTTGCTTCCTGAGGTAAACAGCAAATGGCATCTTCCTTTCCTGCCACCCAGGGCTGACCAGATTATTTTGGTATGTTGAGCCATAAAAACTTACAAGTGCCTCTCCATGGAGTAATAAATAAATAAATAAATGCAACAATGATCAGTTCAATAATGATTTGCTACCCTTTCATGACACCTCAAATCTGCTAGCAGAAGCTGTTGCTGCTCCCCACAGTGTTTAGGCACTTCTGCAATAAGACACCCCTTTCAGAGATGTATCACAGGTAAAAGAGAACATGATGCGGCCAGGTAGCAATGCAGTTGGAAAAGCTGTACCACTGATTTGCCTTTCAGCTGTTAAAGAAGATAAAGCATTAACAATTTGTCTGAATCTCTGTTTCTAAAAGGTAAGGCAACTGTAGGTTAAATCAAGTATGGAGCTGTAAAGAGTTCCCACTTTCTCTGGGAGAGTTTCATTTTAGTGCAGTTTTATATATTTCCACCAGACTGTAGTGGTTGGCCCCTGATGCTCTGTAGCAGCCAGCAGTTCACTGGATGAGACTGAAAATACACTAAGGGCAAAATCCTATGCATATTCAGACAGAAGAAAGCCCTACAGCTGCCAGCATTTCCTCAGACAGCTTGGAAAAACAAAGACAAAAAAATCCATGGTGGTTGGAGAATGTGGAGAGCTGTGAAATCTTTTTTTCTGTCTAAACATGCATCATATTGTACCCTTAATAGCAATTTTAAATCTACAAATGGCCCTGCTTTTTTAAAAGCACTTTACAATCTGCAATCTGCAGCTTATCCCATGGGATTGTTACTGTTCTGCTGCTTTTTGTAGGGTTATTGAAATTGCTTCAGGAGTGTGCTGGAATTATCAGGAGTATGCTCTTTGATTAGATGAAATATCTTGTATACCACCGTGTTTCATGGATTAAATAATTCTGACCTGTTTAGTACTCTCATATCATCCACATCTGTTAAAAGAACTCCATGAAAAAATTATTTAAATAGGACCATCTGCAGTAAAATATGTATTTCAGTTTTTTAAAGCTAATTTAGCTGAATTCATCAAATATATTACAGTGTAATGATCCATACTGTCTCTGTTTGTGTTATGCATTCTTTTTGAAAAACAAAATGTGATTGAATTTTGCCATTCAAATTCACCCTGATGAGGTTTTGCTCTGTATTTGGCTAGCTGATTCTAAGCACTTTTACTCTGTGGCAAAGTGATAAGTGGTAACAAGTTCAAGGCGCAATCCTATGTACATTTAAATGCTTTTAAATGTTTACAGTTTAAAACATTTGTCTACAATTCCTGATGCATGTTTCTGCATAAACGTGCCTGGGATTTTGCCCTTACTTAGTGTTCTTCAGTAACCTGAAACAGTAACTTATGCATACTTATGCAGAAATATGCATGCACCAGATTATGCTTAGTTACTCCTACAATATAAAAATGTAAGAAACATTTATTATATGTATGCATTCTGTTTGTTCTTACAGAAAATGACTCCTAGGGATAAAAGGGTTCATTTCAACTATGGAATGCTTCTGAGCCAGTACAGGAGTCCACTGTGGATTGGAGCCCCTATAATTTTCTTTGATTCCTCCTTGTATTCCCTATGCATGTTTGTTCTCCAGAAACATTTTGGAACAGCAGTTAAGATCATGGCTCTGGGGGGTGCAGAAGGAGCGGAGGGCATCTTCAGAATTACTCCTTGTTCTCCACTGGTGGACGCATCCTTAGCAGATCTCTGCTCAAGGAAAGCTCTCAAGAGTAGCAGATAAGCTGAATCCAGCCCTCTGTGTTTTAATGTTGACATTATTATAATGTAACTTCTAAGAATACTTCTGGTAAGCAGCATTTAATTAGTTCATTGCTTAGAGTGATCAATTAAAGACCCTTTCATTTACTAAATAGGTCTCCCATTTAATTGGAAGGGGCAGGTGGTTTATTTAAAAAAATCAAATACTGGATTTGATCCAAGACTAAATTAGCAGGATATAGTGCTTACTGATATCAATAAGTCCCAAGTCATGAATAATTAATTTAATTGATTTCATTTGTATCCCACATTCTGTTAACCTCCTCTAGATCCACTCTATTGTTTGTGTTCTCGTACTAAGCTACGGTGCACCCCCACGAATGGAGACATCTCTCTAAAGCAATTTCAGTGTGGCCTTAGTAAAACTTGTTGGATAAAAACAAAACCTAGACCACACTGAAAGAGTCCTTTGAAACGTCGGAAGTTTCAATATCTGCTGCAGCCCTGCATAAGCTTCCTTAAAAGCAAACTTCACTAAGATCAGTGGCATTTGCTTTGAAGCAACAGCGCAGTGATAAATTTTGAGGTGAAGGGGCTCCTCATTACAGTCCCAAGCCACATTCCCAAGGGTACTGTAAAAATATAGACATCATAAGAATATATTATCGGTTTGAATATATTATTGGTTCCTCCACAGCTAAGCTAAGCTGTGCATTGCAGCTAAGCTCAGAGGGAATATAGAAGTCTGAATAGGGTGGCGTGTACTGTGTTCATCCGTGTGAATCGGTGGGTCATGTTGCTTTGTGAGCCCTGATTCTACTACACTGCTCTGGAAAAAAAACCCAAAGAATGATTAGGGAGCAAATACTTTGCTTTAACTGGACAGTAGTGTAGTTGGGCACTCTGGACTCAATGATCTTATGGGGTCAATTAGCTCTTTGGATGACAATCTATTTTTCCTAATGTCAAAATGGGTTAAGCTGCCCTGCTGCATTCAGTGGCCCACCTGTTCATTCTACTGACTGAAGTCCTGGGCTTTTCTCTCCAAGTCTGTCTATTGGCACCACCATAACATCTGCTGGAGGACATTCAGAACAGGTCAGAGCTTATAAGCAACAGCTAGCTAAAATGGCTCACAGCCCTTCCCTTAGTTTAAAAAAGATCAATTGTCTGCGTCCTCCCGAATAGGTACCTATCCAGCCCGATAGGTACCCATTCATTAGTATGTCAAGAATGCAGAAGAAAAAAACATCTCTTCAAGTCAGCAAATATAGGGTGAAAAACTTACCTTCATCTGATGTCATTCTGGTTTATGCATGTTGGTGGCTCTCATGCAGTGAAGCTGAAACCCTAACTCCAGTTATATCTGTCTTGGATACAATCCACTGGGAATTGTCATCTGCTTCAAGCCCTTTCCTGGGCTCAGGGGGAGAAATTCTTAATGGATCATATTCTTGAAGAATAATGAATATTGTCTAGTTGAGGAACAATTCACATTATAATCAGTTTCCCAGGCGCTTCCGTTTGTATCACTTTTTTCTCTGGAGGTCTATAATGGCCTAGGCGTGCTCATGATACAGTTGCATTGCTGAAGTTACTTATGTCTGGGACTGGGTACCACCTGCATGCATGGAAGACTGCCGGGGAACCCTATAGAAGAAATAGACATATAATAAAGAATGATGACTTCTGCTTTTCATGGATAGTTATTAATCAAAAGTAGCAGCTGGCATGACAGATCAGCAAAAAATTTAAATTAGTTTAATCCCATGTGACATCTGGACCTGCATAAGCTCCAGTTCAGGTGACATATGGATTTCAGTATCATGTTTACAACAGCTCAGGTGAATATTGCTGAAATCAATATTATAGGCTGTTGATGGGTGGGTGTACCTTCCCTACTGCAGCCTTTCCAAACCTAGGACTCTCCAGTGGTGGTGGATGACAACTCCCATCATCCTTAATCAAGACACATACTGAGAAAGTTCCAGCACATTTACTTCATGCAACAGTTCATGTTCTCCTGCAAAGACTCACTTCAAACTTTGAGACCTATGAGATACACCAGAAGAGAGTTCTTAAACTGTGTATGTCTGGGAGACTTAGAAAATAATTGCTTTTTCATAGTTTTATTTCTGGACCTAACTTTTTCATTTAAAGTGAGGCTTATTATCCTAATTACACATGGAACTGTCTCTTTCTACTTAGTTTACAATAAATGTGTGTGGCCCAAATTTGGATTGGGATCACTGGGCACTGAGAAGAGAGAAGGGATCATTGTGCACTGGGAAGGGAGCCATTTAATTCTCAGAACTTCTGCTGAAAGCAATACAAACATTTTGTTTTGTTTTTAACCCCCACATGTAAGTGGAAGTAAAAGTTTGTCTGTGTTTGGGGTGGAAGGTTGAATCCTTTGATTCCTGGTGTGCAGTAGTCAAATCCAAATTTGGCCATGCAGATTTATTCTGGGATAAAGAGAGGCTTATCTGCATGCTACACAATCAGTATAATGTGTGGTTTGATCCTTAGAGAGCCCAGCTATATTTTCACTGAATCCTTTGGTGGAGCAATTGGAATGCTTTGTCTTGGAGGAGGAGAAAGCTGTTGAGTGGACCATGCAGAGCACGTTGTATCCCTGTGTGGTTAGCAGAGACAGGGATAGAAAAACCACTTGCTTCTTTGCTGACCCACTTGGGAGCATCTGGGCACTGCCCACTCACTTGCCAGGGCGAGTGGGTAGTCAGCCACTTAAAAGGTGAAGTGGAACATTTTGGATGCCCGCCAGAGTGCTGGGCGAAAGAAGGCTATTGTAGGATGGTTTGCGGGAGAAGCTATTCTTCTCCATACCTGTGAGAAGGAAAGCTTTATCTCAGGTGAAATCATGTAGTTTAGCAGATTGGTCTCATCTTAAGGACAATGCATGAAATTAGGTTACAAGCAAGTTACCCAGTGCATTATTATTCTAGTGATTTGGCTGTTTATTGTAGTTTTAAACTCTGCATTAACCCAGGTTCTTTGGGCATTGGTGAAAAGAGATTTCCAAGACATGTTTATTTATATATTTATTTCAATTATCCCTTCCTTATGGAGTCCATGGTGTTCCTTTCTATTTTTACTCATAACAACCATATTGAATAGGGGAGGATAAGAATTGATGACCGGCCCAAAGACACCCAGTGAGATTCATAGATGAGTAGAGGCTGGAATCTGGATCTCCCAAGTCCCAGTTGAAAACTGTAACCACTATACCACATTGCTCTTGTTGGTGAAGGACAGTGAAAGGAAGCCCTTTGGAATCTTGCTGGCACCTGGAGTTCTGGGTCATGCGGAGTGGTGATACAAGAAGATCTTGCTCAGCACCCCATGGTGTGACCAGATGGGCTGCAAGAAGGCCACAAACTGCTTCCAGTTCAGGGTAGGATCAGATTCCTCCTTAAATAAATGCTAGGAGAAAGTCACAACTTGCATCCTACCTTAGCGATTTCCTACACAGGTGCCCATTTGCACTACAGATCTCTTGTACAGGCTAATAACTGTATAGCCCTGGTTTAACAAATCTATGTATCTCACCACCTCATTCGGGTTATGCGTGCAAATGTTATTGCTCCTATCTCATTTCAGCCTTGAACAAGTTCTTTTGTTTTTCTCAGAAATTTGTTATTGCGTCATAAATTATGGGTGGGCACGCAGATGTCTTGCAGATGTTTTGGGTAACTCCCATAAGCCTGGATCACTGGCCATACTCTCCTCATCATGATTCTTGTTTTTCCACAGTGAAACTCAAAGCATCCCAGTTCTGTTTTTCCTCCTGGATAAAAATATGTATGCATTTAGTGTATGTTTTCCCAATTTATAGTTTTTGTGCCTGCGGGACTTGTAGAGTAAAATATCTGGATGGGATATCAAGTTGCTAGCCCTGTTATAAATAACACAATTTCATTTAAGATTTCCTGGAAACTTACATTTATACAATCCTATTTATTATTATTTAAACCACTGAATATTAATTAAAATACTGTTGGCTAATCAGAACAAGTATTGGACTTATCACTTTTTTAATGCACTGTGGCTGCTTTTAAAATTAGATGGAATTATATATAATCATATGTATTAGTGATGGTGATTAGCTGAGTTGACCCTTTTTATGGGCTCCTCCTCCTCTTCTCCTGTTGTGGTTTTAAGCAAATCAGAATGGACTGTTGAACTAAAACTATCTGCCACTTTACTCAATATTTCCTCTTTAGAAAGTTCCTAATGTATCATAGAGTTGCACTTTCTTCTGCGTGTGGTTATTCCAAAACATAACAAAAATATTCCAGCTTTCAGTCCACGTTCTATTTCACAATCTACATCTTAAATTCTAATTATATTTTGTCTCCTAGATGGCCATCAATATACAACACCTAATTCTTTGATCTTGATTGTGTTGATATCAGTATGCTTCTTAAGGGGCTTCTAAACATATGACAGAGGATGAATGCAGCCAGCATTCTGAGAAGATGCTGGTGGGAAATGTTTGATCAGTTAGCTTTCCCATACTACTTTTCAAACTGCTTTTGAAAAGTGGTAAATCAATACAGTGGGGGCAATAATATGCAGAAATATCATGAAAATGCTGCTGTGTGCTTGTAATCACAAGTGTTAATTCTGTTGAGCCTAAGTGTGCTTTTTCAGGAAGTGAGATGAATTGAAGATTTCTGGCCTGGTACCCAGGAAACAGCTGAGCGGAGTTCACTTAAATCTGTCTGCAGCAAGCTATTTGCATGCAACATATCACTGCAGATAGAGTAGTTTTCCAAGTAAGGATAATAGTGCCAAGGAGAATACCTCTTGAGCCACATGGCCAGACACTGCACACAAATGTGAGCAGCCTCTGGCTTCATCTTGATAATGAGTCCTTGTTATTTTAGATATCGATATATGGGATGGATGCATCAGCAACTTTTCTCTAAATTATTGGATTTAAAATATACCTGCTGCATATTACACCCACTGTATATTACAGTAACCAAATGAAGTACCTGATCAAGATTCCCAAAAATCTAAACAGCCTTTAATCCAAGAACAAGGGCTTCAGTAGAGTGTCGTCTGTCTCTTCTGTAGCAAAACCATCAAATTCCTATTTCATATTACGGCTAATGTAGTCCTATCTTCTAGAACCTATTTTAAAGAAGTGTCAGTGATCATTGGACTCAATCTAGGCAACATAATAGCCGGGATGAGCTCAAACTGGTGTTGAAACCAGTTATTGGGTAACAATTCTCAGCAAGTATGAGAGGGATGCTCGCTTATCGTTTTCCGGTGTGGCTATTTAGGCAGAAAATAACACGCTAATATGAAATAAGGTACGATACAGTCACGGTAACATTATGAGATGGCAGGATGAATATCAGCAGCATTCAATGGACTCCACTCTGTGTTTGCAGCCCTTCCGAAGCACTTTTTCCTGAGAGCTCCGCCGGTCTATTCGGCATGCTGTGGTGGGTCCTGTCAACACCCTGCATCCCCCACTGCTTTTCCAAGTAAGTTTTTATGCTTCATCAGTAATGCTTGAGTTATCCTGTAAACCAAAGCAGCAGGATTTAATGTGCTCTGGGAAAAAAAGCTAATTGGTGATGCAATGGCAAGGAGCTAATGCCTCTGTAAAAATCACAGCAGCTCCATTCAGGCGCTTTCCAAAGATTTATCAGACTTCAGTACACTGAGTAATTGTGGTAGATTCTAAATGCCATTGAGCGAAAGGGCCAAGCAAGGAAGGCTTTTGGCTTTTGGATGACTGGAAAAAAGGTCTATCATTTGTTTTCAGGGCCTGAATCAATGCTCATTTGCGAATGGGAAACAAAACAAAACACTAGTCTTTTAAATAGTCCTGTACATATTAATATTCCTTAGGATTTGCAGACAGAAGGGAGAGAACCAGGATTTTGTTTTTTGAAAAGGGACAGCTCATTCTGTATTTTCAATTTTGGAAACCCCTAGAACCATTTTTTTTTTTTTTTTGCATCCCATTGATTTCAAAGGAAGAATAAGACATATGCATACATCTCCCAGTTAAAAGAAATTGGCTGTTATATGTTTGACAGTGGTTGTATTATGACTTTTGTTTCTTTGTTTTTAATTTTGCCATGCATGAAAGTACACAACCCTATATACAAAATTTCAGAAAGCAAAAGTAGCATGTTATATCCATGAATACACATTTTCTGAAAATCAGAAATTAATTCAGCTAATTCAATCCATTCCAGACTTTGCACAGCTATTCCATTTTTGTGGATTTAATGAAGGATCCCCAGCTCTTTGAATTTCTACTTCTACATCATTGCCATGAGTTTAGGTTACCACCCTCTGCATACTCACCTAGGAATGAATTCCACCAAGCCCACTGGAGTTTTCTTCTGCGTAGTCATGTATAGGTTTGGAATACACAAGTAGCCCTTGAATTTCTGTAGATGCAGTTTGGTGCCTTAGCACTATTTTCCATCATTTGAGAGCTTTGAAATGGGGAGAGGTGGGATTCCTTTTGCAATGGTGTTGACAGCGATATTGCATTTATATCCCACATTTTTTCTCTTGTAAGACACCAGTACACCACTCTACTCTCTCTTATGCCAGATTATGACAATCTGCCTTTCATTTCACTACTACAAATGTAAGAAATCTGTCAGTCTGCTGGTTACTGTTAATTATTAAGGATCTATGCCAATACTTTCCCCATTTATTCTCATTCTAAGATGAGTTGTAAGATGTTGGAACAGCACAATCCAACATAGGTAATGCTAAAATCAAATAAAGCAAGGGTGGGCATTTTGGTCATTTTTGGCATCTGGACATTTGTGGCCCCCAGTAGCACCTCCCTTTCATGGTGCCAGAAGTATTTAAAAAATGTGAGCAAGCTAAAATGTGAGCTAAGAGCCCTTCAGTGCTCCATATTAGCTATGGATCTCTCAAAGGGTAAAAGGGGGGTCAAAATGGACACTTTAGATGCCATTTAAAATGATGTTATTGGGGGAGCAGTAGGGAATAGAAGATGAGATGGAAGGCATTTAAAATGTAATGCATGTGAAAAGAAGGTGCTTCCAAAGCACTGCTTTCCTGTGGAACCTTCTCCTAAGCCATTTTTCTTCTGAGGTTTTGTCTGAACCTTAACCAGGGATGCTTGAAGCATTTATCTGCTGTGAATCATGATGTGAATTAATCTGTATCTCCTGGACTAATATGTGGCTCCCACTGTGCTTCTGGTTCAGCTTTTTGCACTTCTCCAAATGCTGCTGTGTAGTTTTTGGCCCAGTAGCCATACAAAAATATATTAAAATGGATATTTCAAGGGAAAAATGGAAATGCAAATTTCATGAAATATGCATCCAGGTATATGTGTTGAAATGCATGTATATGAGGGCGTACTGGTTTTTTCTTTAAAATGTTTTGTAGGTTATTACAGAAATGAGAGTAGATTGATGAATGCATACATGCTAAAGCAGCCTCTTCCAATCTGGTGTCCTCCAAAAGTCCTGGACTACAATACCCAGCATTCCTGATAATTGGCCATGCTGTCTTAAACTAATGGAAGCTGAGTTCCAAGATACCTGGAAGGCAACAGTTTGAGAAAATCTATGCTAAAGCAAAATGCCAGAAATAGGTTGATCGATACATCCCTGTCTCAACACCAAGAGCAAAGTAGTGACAAGTGAAAACCACAGATAGAGGAAGGTCTCAGATGTAGCTCCATACTGGGAGCTAAAATGCCCCCAAACTCAAAGCTGTATGAATTCAGCAGTATACACAAGGGGGACTTTTCTACGCAGAGTAGTTGGTTGTTGTATCTTCTTCAGGTTGTATCCAAGGATTGAAATATAGGTGCTATAGGAAGAGCCTTTCCTTTCCTGCTACATAATCTCTAGATGGCGCTCTGCTATAGCTAAAGATTACAAGCAGTTCTTTCCCCTTCAAAAATAATACCCCATTTTCCCCACTCTAAATAGCAACACATGTGCTCTTGAAAAAGGGAAGCAAAAGGTCACAATGACATCTAAAGAATCTGTAGTCAACGATGAGCAAGGAATCACAAGTGCAAAATCAATGCCTCGGGTATAAAAGTTTTCCCTTTTAACATCTGGTCAGGCATCAAATATCACAAAACTTTGTGCCTAATATTTTGTGGGTTTTCATTTGGTCCTTCATGCATTGTTGTTCCTGAATTGTCACCTCATTTTCACTTGAGGTTGTATTTGCTAGGTTGGAACTGCACCTATGTGCTAATAGCAGAACTATTTTGATAATGCCATATTTTTCAAGTCCTTTATTTCTCCAAGTGAGATACCTTAAGATTGGGACAATTTTACCTACCCACACTCACAAAACCCAGAATGACACATGTAAATTGGCTATATGTCAGAGAATGCTATGAGTTTGGCGGGGTGGGGTGGGGTGGGGCGACACTTGGCTCTCTCCGGATGCTGGCCTACAGCTTTTATCATCCTTCAGCAGCAGCTACGTATGCTGGCTATTAGGACTGAAGGGATATGCCACTACCAATTAGCATCTGGTTGTCCATACTTTCCCTACCCCTGGTTAAGGCATCCTAAACCAAACACTTTTATTTTGAAAATAAGGTATATTCCAGTCCTTCACATATTCTGGGGCCATCAATCCCACTGAAGGGAAGAAGTGCCTATTGTTTTAAATTACTTGTGGGCTGCTATTAAGGTAAACTATTCTCAAAGTGACGTATAGGATTAAAAAAACCGAAAGTACACAAGTAGGCAAATTGAATCTACAATTTAGAATATTGAACACTATAAATCAGATTATACCAATAAATCTTGCAGTCCACAGATTATGGGAATTCACAGCAAAATCAGGTGGGTCTTTCTGGAAACCTGTGAAGAAGGGACCTGACAAGCCTTCTGAAAGAATTGTATTCCCAAGGCATCTTTTGAGGGTCAGAAACCAAAATGCTGCCCTCCACGAGTCAGAAAACCATTTCTGGTTCTGAGGAAGCAGAATCATGGTAACAGATGAATGCTGAAATGCTCTAATAAAGATATAAATGAAAGGAGTGGGACCGAAATACATGCTCGGATGTATGAGTGCAAGAATGTCAACTTACCCCAGAGCAGAATTCTTGGCGGTAGTGTCCTTTGTGGTGGGGGTGGGTGGGAGTAGGTTAGTTTGCGAATGTTTCAGAAGACCAGTTGCTAAGCTGAATGATTCTTGACAAGTGAGGCAGCAAATGCTGGCAGTTTAATGAGCTGCGAGTTTCGGAGCACCTCTTTAGGAAGCTGACACTTTCCCACAGAGCGTTTCACATGGGCCCGGCCACCTCACAATGGGCAACAGCGCCATGACCAATCGCCACTTTCACTTTACTCATCCACACGCGACCTCACCACAATTTTTCACTGTGCCGATGAACTTTAGAAACCATCTCCAGCTGAAAAGGCCTGGCCAAGGGTCAGTTGCCCTTTTGTGTAGCCATAAAGGGGTGCTCTGTGCGCTGATCTTTTCTCCTGTCTCACATTCCACAAGAATTTTTTGGACACCATTTAAAGCACTTGACTGAAAAATAAAGCAGTGAATGAAGCTGACTTTTATAGACTCATTCTAGCTCATCTTCCCATATAACCCTGTCTACCTGAAAAGGGATTTAGTGAGTTGAGCTGAGCTCATACAGGGACTCCCTGAATGCACTGGGCCCATTATCAACTGCGGCAATTGTTTATGAACCAGGACTGATACACTACTATTTTGGAAGTGACCTATTAATTGTCCATTTAACTAGAGCGTATTGAATCGCAATGGAAAAATGGAAACCGTGACGAAAGCCTTCGCTCGCTCCTTCAAGGTGGTCTGGGCCACAAAGGCAAATGAAGATTGTTCCACAGATTAAGGAGACATTTATCACCATATACTAGAATACGAAGGAAAGGCTTTTTTCAGAACGTATTTGGTACCATATTAGCGTTTGTGTCAACACACCGCATTACACCCTTCAAGTGTGGAGTTCAACTGGACAGGGCTGCAAACTTGCTGTAGTTCATTGGTCCTGACATGACCATTGTGTTTGGCGGGGAAGCTTATTGCTCTGAAGGAACATTCAGATGAAAACTTTGGTCCTTCTCGGTATTGCTATTAGATTCTTTGTCAGAATGTAAGGCTTCTGTTTACATTGCAATTTTTGCAGCCCCCATTGGTTGAGATCTTCCGTAACCACTTAGAACTTCCCTGTTCCAGCACATAAGATGGTCCCTTTTGCTGGAGCATTTTGAACTGTTCTGAGATTATAGAAATCACCTGATGTGCACAAAGAAAACTGTGATCTGATTTGGATGCTTTTACCAGGCTCATGTGGATGTTCCTCAGCTAAACAGGACCTCAGTTCTCCATGCAAAGGCTTGTATCAGCATTCAGAAGTGATCTAATGGGATGATTCTTGCCCACCCCACCCACAAAAATGGGCAGAAGGGGAGAGTGTGCAAACTGAATAATCAGAGGTGTGCATCTCTGGATGTATGTATCACTCCTTTGTTTAGATTAGGTACAAGTAATCTGGTCTCCTCCAGATGTTTTTGGCTACCACCCTGAGAAGTCTCCGTCATCATGGCCAATGGGGAGTATAGCAACTGTAGTCCAGAAGGTATGGAGGGCCCCCAGATCCTTTCCGCTTGAAGTGGTAGGAAGGCTGCCACTCTTCCACCACATGAGTCAGCATGTTGGCCTCACAATGCTGCAGTCCTATGCACACTTACTTGGATTCAGCTTCTGAGAAAGTGTGTATAGGATTATGTTGTAAATCTCTAAGCTCAGTTCAGATGTGAAAGTGTGTTGTACTTAAAGACAGGTGCACAAACTGCTACTGAACAACAGACGGACTCTAAAGTCCACAAGGGCTCCAAGAGATCACAGTAGTTCTTGTGAAGCACTGGCATTTGCAAAGCATAATTCATAATAAAGGACGAACCATTTAAAACCAATTATTGGGCCTGCGGACTTATAAATTTGATTTCTGATTTTGTTTAAAGCTGTTTAATTGCATAAATAACAACATTGTTGTGGAATGTTATGTATTTGTCTTGTTCCAGGACAGGAAAATGTTCTGCCTCTTTTAACCCAGGATTCCAGATCCCGAAGAGGCATTTTAAGAAGAGCTGTCTTTTCTGAAGATCAGAGAAAAGCATTGGAGAAAATGTTTCAGAAACAGAAATATATCAGCAAAACAGACAGAAAGAAACTGGCCCTTAATCTGGGTCTGAAGGAGTCACAGGTATAGAAAGATCTGGTAGACTTTTCTTGAAGGATGAGGAGTAGAAATTGATTTGCAAGTATATGGGGCAAAAGTAGAATCGGGCACATCAGTCTTGGCAACCTCATTTTGAAGAACTTAATTTCTGGTAATTCTTCAAGATCTGGGAGCATGGTTAGCTAAACTGTGGGAGAAAAAGAGGACAATGCATTTTGTGGGAGGTTTACTTGCCACAAAAGACCATTGAAAGAGGATCATTCATACATCTGAGTTGCACACAGTGGCTTTCCGTAAGTCATCAGAAATGTTCAGCCCTAACTCATTGTTGGCAAGTTGAGTTGGATGGCAACATGCCAGTATGCAGCTTCTTCTAACAAATAATGGCCCCTTTTGCATGGATACCAAAGTTCTCATTAACAGTTGTGTGGCCAGGACATCAAATTTCAGAAAAGGAAGCAACATTCAACCACTGAGAGTCTTATCATGAATTATCATGTAACACAGACTGAGGTCATGTTTGTTCTACATACCAACTTTGATCTCTTGGGTGGCTGAATGTAACTTTCCTCTGAATCCTGGCCACAGATGATCTGAAAAGAGGGGTGACTGAGCCTAACTGCCCAAATGATATTCATTTCCAAATCTCACCTCTTGGTGATTCAAACTTTCACCAAAAATGTTAATCTCTAATTGTCTAAACGTCTTTTTCTGTACTACTGTTTCCTTATTTGAGAATATCCTTAAACTTTTACATTGGCATGAATGTTCGCAAACTTATAGCAATACACTTTTGCCTAGGCTATCCTTTCTCAACCTGCTGTCCTCCAGATTTTTTGGACTTCAACACCCATCAGTCCCAACCAGAATGACCAATGGTCAAAAATGCTAAATACACTTGTGGTGTATTTGGAGGACACAGCATTGGAAAAGGTTTGGTCATGTTAAGAGAGGGGAATGGATAATTTAAGATTACTTAAGAGGTGCATTTTAGGCAGCATTATTTCAAGAAACTAACAACGATAATGTCTCATTAATGCCTTAACAGGTTAAAATCTGGTTTCAAAATCGAAGGATGAAGTGGCGGAACTCCAAGGAAAAAGAAGTGCTTTCAAACCGGTGCCTGCCAGAGGAAGGTCTACAGGAGACTTACCTTTCCAAACCATTGAGTTTTACTTCCCCACCATGTCCTTCATGGGAAATGTCTCAACAACAGTTGAGCCCAAGATGGCAGAATATTCCAGAACATTCAGAGAGACTGAATAGCAGAAGTAGCTTGCGGCCACATTCAAGAGCAAACTTGTCTCATGACACCTTGTATTTGTATAGGAAACAAGTTGCTGCAGAGAAGGCAGTTAAATCCTAAGGGGGGAAACTGATGGAGTAAGGACAGACAGACCATTGACTTCAGGTGACCCTCAGACTAATGGTATCTTAAATGAACACTGAATTAGCTTATATACTTCATCTTTCGCTAAAATAAAACATAACACATTTATTCTGGCAAAAATTAATGGTGTGCAGAAAGTTTCAGTAATCATTCTTCCCTCATGTTCCTTCTGGCTTGAATAATTCTAGTAAGTGAATCAGGAAGGAACCAATGGTAAGTAAACTTGAGCATGAAGAGCTTTCTCTTTCTTCTGCGTCTAATGTGTATGTTTCTCATACATGCGCAAATAGATTTGGTTTTGTTTGCAGTTATCCTTTTCAGACAAATGAATATGTTATGACAATAACCTATTCTTTAATGGTAATAAGGGAAGTGAAAAAACATTTCAGTGTATAATGCTGTGGGTTTGTCATCTGTTTTTCAAAGAGGATAGTGTAAATGATTGTTGGGTTGAGCTGACTTAAGTGTCTATAGAATCATATATCTAGTCTCAGCAGTAAACGCACAGTAAGAGGTTGTTCCAGATGAGCCAGTCAGCAAAGACTGAGGGCCTGTCTAAACTACAATTTCACATCAGTTTTATAGCAAATTCACTGCAGTGGCTTCTCCAAAGAACGGTGGGAACTGTAGTTTGATGAAGATATTGAGAACTCTGCATTGGGAGATTCCTAGCCCCTCACAAAACTACAGTGCATGAGATCCCCTGGCACGAAGGACAGATCATTAAACCAAATTCAGGCTGCAATCCTGGGCATGCTCACTTGGAAGTAAATCCAGGTGAATGGCATAGAGATTTCTTGTAAGTAAATGTGCCCTGGATCAGCCTTGCATCTAGAGTAGGGGTCTCAAACTCGCGGCCCGCGGGCCAATTGCCGGGATGGGCAGGGCACGGGGGAGGGGCCCTGCGGCCTTCAAAGCGCCGGTGGCGCCCGGGCCGGCCTCCGGATGAGCGGCCCACCACCACCGCGGTGGTGGAATACTTGATGCGGCCCAGCCTCACCCAGACTCTACTTCCAGCGGCCCCCAGGTAAGTTGAGTTTGAGACCCCTGCTCTAGAGTATAATTGTGCCCATAGTCAGAAGGTGAGAAGCAAGTCAAGAACAGCAGAACCAAGAAGAAAGGGTTCTAGGGTCATGTATGGCAGATAGCAATGACTGGCTTTTGGAAATCAGGAGGAATAGAGTGAAGAAAAGGAAATCTAGCACGGTAGTGGCAGGTGACGTCTACTAAGCAAGGTGGTTGAAGCTGGCTTGCACATTACAGCTTCTGTATGCAGGGTATCAAAAACCGCTTATCTTTGATAGCATGCTGCATAGAAATGGTGATGTTTACATGCACCCTGCCACATGCGTCCACCAGTTTTCTGCTAAACAAAATCAGGGTTCAAGACCTGTTGTGCCTGGCAGCGCCTCACTACCTCCTCATGCATTTCTTCTTCCACATTTCACATTAATAATATCTGCTTATTATGTACCCATGATCATATAAGACAAAAATATCTTGTGATCATTTGAGTCTGTACACTATGTTCTTCTTCCTGTTTTGGAAGCAATGACTTTTTCACCCAAGTGCTTCTGCAAATGAAATGTGCTATCAGTAGATTCTGATTATCAAAATAATCAAACATAACATGGGGGAAGAAACGAATGATGGAGAAGCCATTTTCATCACTGAAGGGATACAACACCGGAAGGCAGCACAATCCTATGAGGCTGCCATAACTCTCAAAACTCGGGATTATGGGGCTCCTATGGAGGGCTGGAGAAGTGTAGAATCAAATATCCCAGATTCTCCTGCTTTGCAAAACACTTAGATGATCACTTAAATGTTTCGCTATGGAGCACAAGGAGAGGAGGCTGAGGTGCTTCATATGCTGGCAGTTACTATCTCCTCCTGACTCCCAGAAGGCTCATAGAATATTTTCTCTAAGCTTGCTGATGTGACTTTGGAGATGCAGTTCATTCTGCACTGGCTGCAAGAGAGAAAGGAGAAAGCTCTGATTTTCATGTCCCAGCTCTGAGTTTAGAACAAGCTTTTGAGTTCTGAGCCAGGATTCTGAATAATCATATGTCCCAGTAGACTCTGTCTAGAAGCTATAGGATTGTATCCTGAAGACTAATATTTCATTGTCCTTTACTGGGTTATTATAATTTTTGATAGACCAAGTTTTCCATTTAAAAGTGGAGATAATAAACAAAATCCCCACCTTCCCTAACAACTATTATAGCGTCCTGTCAACTAATAACAAACAGAACTGAACCTACTGCAGTGGGCTGCAGCCTTTTTGTGATTTTTCTAACATGGCTTCCATTTAACTAGCACCAGAACCTTTTCTGTATAACAGAAGGTCTAATATTTCATGCAGGGCAATTGAGCTGGCATCAGATTAAGGTAATTCCTTTACTAAAACAGTGTGCTTTATTTTATTTATTCATGCTTAATTGCTATTGATCTAAAAAGTACGACACAGGAAATTTTGCAGGGACTGGACAAAAATTGCGTACATTTCTACACCTATACATTTCAAATTGTGCAGCTGCAACCCACAAACTGAAATAAATTATACAGATTAGGCACAATACAGAGAAAATGTAGCCTCCTATGAATTCCATTGAAACCAGTGAGACTTACATGCTGAACTGTGTTCTTAAATCCCATTGATTTCCATTCATTGGCTCCTTGCTAAGGTACCAAATACCAGGAAAAAAATGCATTGCATCAAATAGCCATACAGATTAGTTTGATGTGATGTGTCCAGTCCTGGGCATTGCAAGGATATAGAAAACTGAACTAGATTCAGAGGTCAGTAACAAAGTATGGGGGAAAATTTGTAAGAGGAAACCTGAAGGAATGGGGTATGTTTAATATGAGAAAGGTAAGACTAAGTGCGACCAAACAACAACAAGTACCTGAAGAGGAGTCACATAGAAGAGATCAGAGGAATGGATCTAATGGCTTATGCACAAGATTTGGATTTCACCTGAATGTGAAAAGGAGTGTCCTAATGGGAAGAAGAGTCTGGCAACAGAGCTAGTTTTCTTAGGACATGGTCTGAAGCCATATGAGTTAGCCAGCTTGTTGAATCTAAGCAGGTCTGAGTCTGGTCAGTGCTTAGAGTAGAGATCAACTAGGAACCACATGTACCTTGTATTTCACAACAAAAGAAAGATGGGAGAAAAAGTAATAAAACACTGGGGCTGTTTTCTGAGTTCTGGTCTGAATCTTTGAGCAAGGAGTTGAACTAGGCTTCCTCCAGTGCTGTGATTCCTTCCCTTCTACCAATATGGGAATGGACAATCAAGGCCTTGCACTAAGTTCTTGAATTTGTAGGCTGTTTGCTCTAACACAGATCCAGAACAGAGAAGCATGGGATGAGAATACTCCTGGGCAGAGCCCTTGGCTGCATCTCCTTTCAGTCTTTTATACTGCAGAGCAGCACAACTTTCCTTGTTCATCCCTATTGTTCAAGTAACATTTTTCTCATTGCATATATTTTGGCACCAGCTGCACCAAAACTTGCCTAATGATTCAGAGCTGATATTCCAGGAGGAAATGGGAGTTCCAATCTATATAAAAACTGCTTCCACTTGCTAAGGGCAAAGCACCCCTTCATTTCAGGTGTACATAGAGCTGGGCTGAGTTCTTCCATTGAAGTAAATGGGAAACTCCTGATTTGACAGAGCTCATTGTCAGTACTGTAGGCAGGTTAAGCCACCTTTAACCCTTGAATTCAAACTGAGCAGCCCATTCAGCTGGTGGTATGTGAAGGATCAATACATAATTGATTTAAAACCAGATATGCTTTTCTGCCTAGTTGTTAATTTTATTGGTTACACACTCACAGATGAAACTATTTAGCATGAAATGTCACACAATATATTTCGTTTGTGAACTACCTTGAAAGTGGATTTTGCCTGCTGTGCCAAGCCCACTTATCATTTGTCATCTTTTAATTTTTCAGTTGATGGCAGAGTGAAATAAATCATGGGCTAAGTTGTTTGAATCCAGGTTTTCAGTTAATAATTTACTGAGACCACAAATGCAATAAAGACCTTTCTAAATTGTTGTGCACACTTTCCACAGAGAATACACAACTGCAGTCTTGAAAATTGCTTTGCCATAGCAGATTTCAATTGAACAGAGAATGCCTGGCACAATCCTGCATTTTAGAACTTTTAAGTAGTTTTGTAGCTTATTGGAATCTCTTCTAAGACATCAAACATATTCATAGTCAGTCATTAAATTTTCTCCATTATTAATTGATAAACCAGCTGCTTCTGATGATCCCACACCATTCAGTGATAATCTCCATTGACTGCATCTATATCAAAGGCAGAAAAATAAAGAAATGAAATATACACCCACTCTTGGCAGAATGTGGGCAAAACAAAGCTCCCTGCTTTCTGCTGGATGTGAGGCTGTAGTTAGAAAGATCAGAACCCAAGTTCATAGAATTTTAAATAATGAACCTATTCAGCAGCCAGCATGCTCCATGATAATTAGTATGTATTTTTTTGGGTGGGGGGAGAAAAGTATGCATGAGAATGAAAAAAAACAACTGGAAAAATACACAAGTGCTTTCCAGCTTTTCAGACCAGCACATTAGCGTCCAACAAGAAATGTAGATGCAATACCAGGCAACAAGGTGAGAAGGCTTTGTGAAGGCCATGATTGAATTCCATGCTCACACTGTGCAACATGAATGCTTGTTGGAAATAACGGGAGCTGCAGTTCAGCACATCTGGAGGGCATCGGTTTAAGGAAATACAAAGGGCTATCCTACTGGAAGACTGGCGTGCAAGTTGTGCCTCTCCAACCACGCATTAGAAATAACTAATATTTTCCACAGTGTAATGACTCACTCCAAACTAGAGCCCTGCAGATGTTTTAGACTACAATTCCCAGAATCCCAGGCCACAGATTTGCTCACTTTTGCCTATGGGAGCAGAAGTCCAAACCATCTGAAGGGTGCCATGTTGGGGTAGGTTGATATATGACAAGAAAAAACCAGAGAGAGCAGGTATGCTGGGAGTGTCCAATCAAATGAACATATGCAAATTATTCTGACAGGAAAGACATGGGGCAGGTAGGTAG